TCCGAACCCGGGCCGCCAGCAGCGGAGCGCGCGCGCACTTAACCGCTAAGCCACGGTGCCGGCCCTTAAATAAACTTTTTAATTGAAATGTGTCATACATACTAATTATAATTATTCAGCTTGATACCCCTGTATCACCAAGTATAGACACCTGTGTAACCAATACTTGGAAATTTTTATACACAAAGTGCTTTAAGTTGTCTGCTGTGATCACCTCAGGCTGCTCAGGGCCAGCTGCCATACCTGGGTTCCTGTTCCAGTGGGTGCCTGTGTTTGCACCTTTCACCTTGTGGCAGCTCCAACAACACAGTTAGAAAACAGTTTCTGAAAGTGAAGTTAACTTGATTGCAGAGAACAGGGAAATTCTTTTTTCCTTGTCATCGTTGTTGCCCCCTCCTCTGCCCACCAGTGCTGTGAGTTAAAGGAAAAAGAATAGGCTTTGCTAACTGTGATATATAGTGGCTTTTCAGTTGGACAATGACAGTTGGCTTGCTCTTTTATCAGATGATGAGTTATTGAATTAAACCATTTAAAAGTATAGTCAATGCAAAGGGAGAAATAAAATGTAAACTATAATACTGTAGTTCCTTTATATCAAATAATTAAGATTTGGGGTTTAGTCTTAATTCAGTAAAGTACATAGTGCACAAATCAGAATATTCCCTCAAATTGTGTTTAAGGGTAGATATGCTGGCTCTTTTTTTTGTTTCTAACTCTGGAAAATTTCAAATACATAGGAGTGGAAAGAATAGTATATGAAGCCCATGCGCCCATCACCCAACCTCAACAACGATCAATTCATGGCCAGTCTTTGTTTCTTCTTTATAACAAGATTGTTTTATTGTTTTGACTCATGCTAGGTTTTTAAAATTGAAAGTTTAATTTTTACTTAGTCTAGGCACTTGGGAAGCTCTACAGCAACAGCGAAGAATTTGCTGCATAGAAAATCAAGAAGTAAGGACTATGATGTATATAGTGATAATGATATCTGCAGTCAGGAATCAGAAGATAATTTTGCTAAAGAGCTTCAACAGTATATACAAGCTAAAGAAATGGCAAATGCTGCTCGATCCTTACCATTTCCTGAAGAATCTGTGAAGAAAGAGGGAGTGAAGGATCCCCAGAAAGGTAAGGGTCAAACTATTTTATCTAGAGAAGCAATCACAGGTGCCCACATATGGACTGGGGGGGAGTTTTTTCCTGCATTGTGTCTCATGATAAGATCATAGTTTTCATGGATCTTTTCACCAGACTTGAGCTTGCATGGCCTGAGACCCCCCTCCCCCTTGCTGAGACCTGGGTACTCGATGTACAGATGCTCAGTTTGCAGGAGGAGCTGAGAGTGCAGGGGGCTTATCAAAGGCCATGACTACTTTGAAAGGGAGAATGCTAAATCCCTGGCCTCTGCCTGTATGAAGGGCCAGATATGCCTGTTTGTATTGTTATCTAAAGAGGAATTGACTTAATTAATATGAGGGTTGGTGATGTATCAGACTAAACTCAGAAATATATGCTTTTAGATTACTAAAATGAAATTTAGCCATAGAGATGAGGACAAATGACAATTGTAAATGAAATTCTTAATCCTCTCATTTTACTGCCTTTTTTTCCCTCTTTAAATGTTTTCCTGTTTAAAATGGGTCTATAGATAAATTTTATCTATATTAAATGTTTTCAGTGAAAAATCTGACAGTGAAAATATCAGATCATTTTGAACATTTGAAGCTTTTATTATTATAGTGCTATGGTCATTCCTATTTAGATCCATCATACTCTGAACACTTCCAAAGGATCTGGGTTGTGGCTAGCAAGATGGATTTCGTTAATTATCTGGCTTTTTTTCTGACAATACCTTATTATGTTTTCACAAAGAATGAATTTGGGATTAGGAAGATATTGATTCTCTTTTTGGTCTCTTAATCCCAGAGCTTCTAGAAAGACACGTCAGCATCATACCAGTTTTCACTCATTGAGCAGTGGAGAACTTTTCCTGGATTATTATAGAATATACTTCTTAAGAACTGCTATATTTTGTGTGTGTGTGTGTGTGTGAGGAAGATCAGCCCTGAGCTAACATCCGATGCCAGTCCTCTTTTTTTTTTTTTTTTGCTGAGAAAGATTGGCCCTGGGCTAACATCCGTGCCCACCTTCCTCTCCTTTATACGGGATGCCCCTACACCATGGCCTGACAAGCGGTGCGCGTCTGAACCTGTGAACCCCGGGCTGCCGAAGTGGAGCGCACGCACTTAACCACTGCGCCACTGGGCTGGCCCCAAGAACTGCTATTGTATTTTTATGTCATCTTTAAAATTAACTTTTCTGTTTTTAGCTGTTAAACAAAAAAATAAAAACCTTAAAGCTGTTCGCAAAAATGGTAAGCAGAAGAAAATGAAGCGAAAATGGCCTGGCACTGGAGATAAAGGATCAAACGCCTCACTGAAGAACAGTGGCTCACAGGAACAGGTACCAGAAGATATGCTTGTGGGAGGACACCCACAGGCTGTTGGGATTTTGTCTTACACCTCAGTGACAAGCCACAAAATGAAGGTTATCCAATGGTGAAAATCTCTTACCGTCACTGGGCTCTCCATGTCCTTCCTTCTTACTCTTGCAGCTGCCTTCCCTCTCACTCTCTAGCTGCCAGCACCCATTTTAAGCCTTAGTGTTGTGCCTGTTGCCCCTGAATACATACACACAAGCCTCTTGATTTTTTAGTGTTACTGTCAATGACTATGGAAAAACAAATAGAGGAAGCAGGGAGGAGATAAAATAGCTGCGAGACATTTCAAAGGCCACAGAATCTTACAAAGTTTCTAGTGTTGCGGGTCCCTGGTCTGTTGATTCTTGACTCTGTCTGGAAATTAAAAATGAGTATTTCTGAACATTGGCCTTACCAAACACCACCTACCCCCCTGGTATTTTGATTTTGCTTCGTATAAGTTCCTCTTCCTTGGTCTGCAGATGTAATAAGGGTAGCACAAAAAGTGACTCCTCTGGACTTTGCTTTTCTGACGCTTCTAAACTGGATGGCACCTTTTTTGTTAGGTTTGGTCCAGGAGACGAGTTAAGGGTGGTAAAATACTGTAGTTTGAAACATATTTATATAAAATCTTGCCCTGCTTCCATATTTTACAAATGAGAAATCTGAATCCCCAGGGTTCAGGTAACTGCCGGTGGTCGCACAGGGCCAGGCCAGGGCTGGAACTTTGTTTCCTGATCCCCAGTCAGTATTCCCTTTCATTTGGTTTACGGTGGCTCAAATAATTATTCAGCCAAAGCTGGACAGCCCTTTTACACAAGGAACAAATTATAAACATATATGTTAGAATTTAATAACGTAATCAAATAAAACCAAAGATTTAAACTGACACATTTATAAGACACATAATTTTGATGGTACTAAGTGGAAATTTGACATTATTGCAAAGCAGATCACATAAATTTACAGTTAGCTTCTGTCTTTTTATATACTGAATTCCTAAAACTGTATTCAGCAATTTGGTATGCAGAGGTTGTAAGTTGTACCACAAGTTAACACACTAAAAGTGATTTATGTTTCTAAAGAGCTAAATGTATTATGAAATTCCCCTTTTGTTTTTATATAAAAGTCCCCTTTTATTTTTATACTTTATTGCCATCTTTGAGGGTATATTTCTAGTTTTGTTTGTTAGTTTGAGCTGGTCAGTATACTTAGCTGACACCAGTGAGCATCTTATTGAAATTAAAGATTACACTGCTTTGAGTTCACCTTATGATTTCCAGTTTTGTCTCCATTGTTCTAAAGAACCTTGTTCTTAGACTTCACTTTTTATTGCAAGTAGGAGCACTCTCATTTTTTAATTCATTTTTAAGTAAGGACAAAGTACAATAAAATATTCAGGTTGCACAAACACTGATGGTCGATGATGGAATGCTGTTGAAACTGACAAAACATTTATTTTTCAACTGATGTACAAAAGTCCACATCTTACACATTGAAGGCCAGTTTAGAAGAATCACTTTTCAATGTTTTAAAGGTGGTTTAAAATAATTTTGTGCAATGGAATAAAATATTTCGTTTTCTGTTTCTTCACGTTTAGTTTTTTGTTTTTGTTTTCAAAGGATGGTAAACCTAAAGAGAAGCAGCAGCGTGTGAGAATGAGTCAGGCATTCATCAACCAACATACAGTGGAACGCAAAGGAAAACAGATTTGTAAATATTTTCTTGAAAGGAAATGTATTAAGGTATAAAAAAAGTGTAAGGAACAACGTATTAAAATGTAAAGTATGGCAAAAATGTACTTAAATCAACTCGTGTTCCCATTAGACACTCTAAAAGCATACCTGTACGTTTTTAAAACTGTTTCCTTCTGGAAAAGGTTCAATTAGAAAATTTTACTAAAATATTCTTTTATGTTTAAGAAAGTGGATAATTTTTTTAAATGCTTTGTGTTAAAAATGTTTAGGACTTAACAAAATTGTAAGCAAGTATACGTGATGTGGTTATGAGATAGCTCATTAAGAATTAGATTGTACTGCTTCTAAGCCTTTGTTTTTTTCTGGAATCATTTGCTTATGGAAAGAGTAGTAGGAATTGTAATGATTTAACTATGAGACATAACGGCTTTTCCTTGTTCTTTCTTTTGGCCCAGGGAGACCAGTGTAAATTTGATCATGATGCAGAAATAGAGAAGAAAAAGGAAATGTGTAAGTTTTATGTACAAGGATATTGTACCAGAGGCGAAAACTGTCTGTATTTGCATAATATCCTTTATCACAAGATATAGTAACTTTACTTTTCATAAATATTTACATAAACATTTTAAATATGTAGAATTTTGAATGAAACCAGTGTTTTATCTATGGCAAAATTATATTATCCAAGTCCAACTCAGTATCAAAGTGATTAAATTGTACTCAGAATTTTTGCCCAAGAAAGAAAAGAGGAATTCTTTAGACATTCTCTCAAATGAAGATCCTTTCTGCCCAACCTGGGTGGTAGTATAGCAGGTTCATGAGACCTAGTCAAGTCTCAGAAAGACTGTGTCAGAATTTCTGCTATGGCATCCAGTAATTGAATCTATATTCATGAAAGCTACTTCATAAAAAGACGCAGAAATTGCATAATTTGGGAATACTTGTTTTGTGTATGTTCTGACTGTATAGAGGTTAATTGTCACTTAATTTGAAGAATAACCCTAACTCTTCAGTGCAAATGGTACAGACATGTTATAAAAACATGGAACATAAACATTTTAGGGTAGTAGCATCTTTGGTCATCACAAAAGTTATTTTCCTTCAGTCATTCAATACAAGAAATCTCAAATTCTAACTTGAGAATTTTTTTCTAGAAAACAATATTGAAGTTTTATAAATTGATTCTATTTTTTTTTAATGTTTTATTTATTTATTTTTTTCCCCCAAAGCCCCAGTAGATAGCTGTATGTCATAGATGGAAATCCTTCTAGTTGCTGTACGTGGGACGCGACCTCAGCATGGCCTGAGAAGCGGTGCGTGGGTGCGCACCTGGGATCGGAACCCGGCTGCCAGCAGCGGAGCGCGCGCACTTAACCGCTAAGCCACGGGGCCGGCCCTAAATTGATTCTATTTTAAACAAGCCTAAGATATGAAGGATCCAGATTTGTAAGACATATCATTGTCATTGACTTTAATTCTGCCACCCGAAAGAATGCTTTAAAAATAATCACATTTCAAAGTATTTAAAATACACATCCCTTTCTTATATCAGTGAAACATACGTGTAGTCTATTATAAGAATGTACATGAAGGAAAAAGTGTCTTGTGATAGCCAATAAACTTGATGTATATAATCATCCTAAAATTAGATTTTTCGTGTTACCCAATTAATAATTATCATATTTTAAGTAGAGAAATCAATGTTTCTACTGGTAGGAAAGGCCTTTGTATAGGAAAAAGGAAGTCATTAAATCAATAACAAATTAATTTAGTTGGATTAAAATTGTTTTCTTCCTTAACGTTCGGGTTACATGAATATCCCTGCAAGTTTTACCATACAGGAGCAAAATGTTATCAGGGAGAATACTGCAAGTTTTCACATGCTCCACTGACTGCTGAAACACAGGAACTGTTGGCTAAAGTAAGTACAATTTTAATTTTTGTTTTTCTTTTTTTAAAGAGCATGTGTGAACAAAGGGTGAGCATTTGAAAAGGTACTGTTCTTTAAGGAGAATGCCTTATAGGTTAGCATATAGGATATATTAGGACTGATAATCTAAGAATTTACTTCAGTTTAGAAAATTATTATTCATTTGTGTATTTTTCCTTGTAGCTTAAAGCAAAATTTATACTTATTGCTGGTATAAATTGGAATGTTCTTAAAACCTTCAATGTAGTTAGCAACCTTAGTAGCTAAGGTAACCACATGAAAACAAAGCAAATAGGGGAAGTAGTGCACCTGTTATACTCTTAGAGGGAAAGTTAAGGATTATTGGTTGATAGATATTTTGGAGTTACATCCAAGTATACTCAAGTAGTTATTTCAAAGTTTTCTTCAAATATTCTTTCAATCTGTGAGAAAAGATCATTGAAAAATAATAGTTGTTTATATTCTTTCATTTCTCATATGTTAGTTGAAGCTAGTCTCTTCAAAATTAAATTGAAATATAAGTGAAAATAAAAGATTCTTTTAAAACCAAACCATACCATCTTATGGCAGAGGGTTCCCTTGAGCATGTACAAGTATTAGAAAGTGAGAGCTCCTTATTTCTGGATATTTTTAGGTTGTAAAATATGAAGGGTTACCCTCGAATTAGAAGTCATACCAAATATTTGGTGGTTTATTAATATGAAATATATATGGAAAAAATGATATATGTAAAAGTGGTTTTTCACTTTCTCCTATAGTAAATATTGTTAGATGATTACTAGGATGAATATTACTGGAATCATTGGAAAATTACAAGAGTATGCTGATGTACCTGAATTAGATCTTAATGCATAAAAATGATTGTGATTTTTTTCATATTAGGTTTTAGATACTGAGAAGAAGTCGTCATGAAAATAAAATACATAAAAAAGGTAAAATTAGAATTTAGCACATTTTTTTTTTCTCTGAAACATCTCTAGAGGGTGGCATGGAAACATAGGGCTTTTTCCATTTTCTCCAACAGAAGTCTTTTTCTCTCTCCTCCCTCACTGAAAAAATTATAAAATATTTGATACATATACATAGATGTGTATGTCTATCTCCATGCACCTACTTCCGTCTCTGGGTTTGTCACTATCTTTTGTATTTTTATTCTCCTCTTTTGTTTCTTTGTAGATTTACCATGTGTGTATGATTCACTAAATAGTATATTTAGTTTTGCTTGTGTTTGGATTTTATTTAAAATGTCATACTCTGCGTATTTGTTGGTGATTTGCTATTTTCACTCAACATTATGCTTCTGAAATTGATTCATGTAGATGCATGCAGTTGTCATTCATTCATTTTTACTCTTACATAGTATTTCATTCTGTGACTATGTTACAGTTTATTTATTGATTCTACTATTGATGGACATTTAGGTTATTTTCAATTTTTTAAATACCAACTGTTATCATAAATAATCATATACGTATCTGCTGATGTAAATGTGTGTGAATTATCCTGGGTATATACCAAGGAGTAGAATTTTTGTATCATCTTAAAATTTAAGATAATACCAATCTTTTCTAAAGAAGTTGTAACAGTTTATACTCCCAACAACTCTATTAAAGAACTCCTGTTGCTCCCCACTTGCCGGTCCTTTGTATTTTCAAGACTTTAAATTTTTTTTACCAATTCAGTGGGTGTAAAAATGGTGTCACAGCTTTATTTTCATGAAGTTCAGTGTCTTAACGCTTACTGGCTTTTGAGTTTCATCTTTGGTGAAATGCCTATTAATGTCTTTTGCCTATGTTTCTATCAGGTTGGTTGTCCTTTATAAATTGATTTTATGTATTCCTGATGTAATCCTTGATGAGGTATGTCCCATTTTGTAGGCTGTCTTTTCACATTTTTTGAGGTGTCTCAATGAGCAGAGTTACTTATTTTGGCATTCTTTTTCTTTATGGTAGGTTTTGTGTTTGTGTCTTATTTAAGCAATCCTTCCCTATCTGGAGGCTTTAAAGTACTTTAATATTCTTCTAAGTTTTGGAGTTTTGCTTTTTACATTTGTATTTTAATCCTTTGGAAATTGTGTCAGTTAACAGGTGCCACAATAATGGTGTTTAAGAATCAACCACAAGGTTCTAGGAAGCATAGAAAAATAAACATTTCTCCTTCCATGCATCTGCAGATTGGCTGGGAGTAGGCTGATTTAGGCTGGCCTTAGCTGGGTTGGCTCTGCTTCATAAAGCAGGTCGACTAGGTAGTTCTGCCCCACATTTGTCTCACTCTTCTGGGACCAGTGGGCTAGCTGGAACATGTTCTTCTCATGGCATTGGCAGAAGCTTGAGGGCAAGGCCCTGTTTGCATCATGTTTACTCACCACCCGTAGGCCAAAGTAAATCATCGTGAAACCCAAGGAAGTACACCCTACTTTTTGTACTTTCCATGTGGGAGGAACTGCTAAATTACATGAAAAAGAAGGTGGCTGTGGCTATAGGGAGAAAGGAAGAATTAAGACTAATTGATTTTTTTTATAACATTGTATGGTAGGGACGTAATTTTCTTTTTTTCCCCCATATAGATAACCAGTCTCCCAGCACCATTCAATTGAAAAGACTGCCCTTTCCCCACTGACCAGTAACGCCCCCTCTGGGATATATCCAGTTTCCTTCAGATGAAGGTCTGTGGCTGGTCCATTTGTCCTTTTCTCTGATACTCTGCTGCCTTAATTACTGTAGCTTTACTGGATTTTGATGTAGTTTGATAGTTTCTCTAATGTTGTTCTTCAGAAGCTCCTTGGGTATTTTGGGCCCTTTTATTTGTTACAGTTTTTTTTAAACAGCTTTATTGAGGTATGGTTTATATACTACTTGTTTTAAATATATAATTCAGTACTTTTTGGCATATTTACAAAGTTGCATAACATCAGCAAATCCAATTTTAGAATGTTTTTGACATCCCCAAAAGGATCCCTTGTACCCATTTGCAGTCACTCCCCAATCCCACCTTTATTCATAGGCAACCACTAATCTACTTTCTATCTCTCGATTTGCCTTTTCCTGGCATTTTATATAAATTTCAATATGTGGTCTTTTGCTTCTGGCTCTTTTCAGATAGTATAATGTTTTTGAGATTCATCCATGCTTTAACATACATCAGTCATTCTTTATTTTTTTTTAATTGTACAATTATTCCATTGTATGGATATACCACTTTTTTCCCTTAATTGATGGATATTTGTGTTATTTCTAATTTTGGGTTATTATGAATAATTCGGCTGTGAGCATTTGTGTGTGAGTCTTTGTGTTGTGGACATATGTTTTTATTTCTCTTGAGTAGGTTACAAGGAGTGGAATTTCTAGGTCCTATGGTAAATATATGTTTATCTTTCTAAGAACTGCCACATTGTATTCCAAAGTGGCTGCATCATTTTACATTCAAGGCAGCAATGTAGAAGGATTTTAGTTTCTCCACATCTTCACCAACACTTGTTCTTGTCAGTCATTTTGATTATAGCTTTTCTAGTAGTAGTGAAGTGGTATCTCATTGTAGTTGTAATTTGTATTTTTCTAAGGATTAATGGTGTTGAACATCTTTTAATGTGCCATTGGTCAATTAGATCTTTGTCCATTTTTTAATTGGATTGTCTTCTTACTATTGAGTTGTAAGAGTTCTTTATATGTGTAGCTGTAAGTCTTTTATTAGATATATTATTTGCAAATATTTTGTCTCAATTGTGATTTTTTCTTTTTGTCCCAGTCTGTGCTTGGCTTTTTTAAGTAGTGTCTATTGAAGCATGAATGTTTTCATTTTAATGGAGTATAGTTTATCAGTTTTTTCTTTTATGGATCATGCTTTTGGTGTTGTATCTAAAAATCCTTTAACCCAAGGTCACAAGATTTGCTCTTATGTTTTTTTCTAAAAATTTTTTATAGTTTTAACTCTTACATTTATGTCTGTGATTCATTTTGAGTTAGTTTTTTGGGAATTGTGTGAGTTAAGGATCTAAATTTTCTTTTTGCATGTAGATATCCATTTGTCCCAATACCATTTTAAAAAAAGACTGCCCTTTTCCCACTCCCCAGTTGTTGCCTTGGCACCTTTGTCAAAAATCAATTGACTATAAATGTAAGAATTTATTTCTGGACTCTCAGCTGTGTTCTGTTGATCTGTATGTCTGCCTTTTATACTATCGCATTGTCTTGATTACTATAACTTTATACTAAGTTTTGAAATAAGGAGGTATAAGCTATCCGGTTTTGTTCTTCTTTTCAAAGATTGTTTTGGCTATTCTGTGTCTTTTGCTTGTCCATATAAATTTTAGGATCAGCTTGTAAATTTCTGTAAAAAACCTATGCTGGGATTTTGACAGAGATTGCACTGAATCTATGGAGAATTTCCATGTTAATATGGAGTCTTCTGATGTATGCACATGAAATGTATCTCCATTTATTTAGATCTATAATTTCTCTCAGAACTTGTAGTTTTCAGTGTACAAGTGTACTGTTTACACTTCTTTTGTTAAATTTATTCCTACATATTTTATTGTTTGATGCTGTTGTTGAATGGAGTTGTTTTTTAAACTTCATTTTTGGATCATAGTATATAGAAATAGAATTAATTTTGTATATTAATCTTGTTTCCTAAGATGTTGCTGAAGTCATTTATTAGCTCTAGTAGGTTTGGTTGGTTGTATGTGTGTGTATGTGTGTGTTCCTTAGGAATTTCTACATACAGGATCATGTTATCTGAGAATAAAGACAGTTTCACTTCTTCCTTTCTAATCTGAATGCCTTTTATTTCTTTTTCTTGCCTGATTTCACTGGCTGGAACCTCCTGTACAGTGTGGAATGAAGTGAGAACAGACATCATTGCCTTTTTCCTGAAATTAGGCAAAAGCATTCAGTTCTTCACCATTGTGTATGATTTTAGCTGTAGATTTTTCAAAGATACTCTATTAGTTTGAGGCAGTTCCTTTCTGTTCCTAGTTTATTGAGAGCTTTTATCATGGATTGGTGTTGGATTTTGTCAAATGCTTTTCTGCATCTATTGAGATGCTCATATCATTTTTCCCCTTTATCCTATTAATATGACATACTACATCAATATGACGTATTCAGATGTTAAACCAGTCTTGATTCTTGAGATAAATCCTACTTAGTCATGGTATATAATCTGTTTTGTTTTTTTTTTTTTTTTAATTTTATTTATTTATTTATTTTCCCCCAAAGCCCCAGTAGATAGTTGTGTGTCATAGCTGCACATCCTTCTAGTTGCTGTACATGGGACGTGGCCTCAGCACGGCCAGAGAAGCGGTGCGTCGGTGCACGCCTGGGATCCGAACCCAGGCCGCCAGCAGTGGAGCGCGCGCACTTAAGCGCTAAGCCACGGGGCCGGCCCTATAATCTGTTTTATACATAATTTTTGGATTTGGTTTGCTAAGATTTCATTTTAAGGATTTTTATCTCTATTCATAAGGTATCGTCATATGTAGGTTTCTTTTCTCATGATGTCTTTTTCTAGCTTTTGGTATCCACTGGCCTCCTGGAGTCAATTGAGAGGTGTTCCTTCTTCCTCTCTTTTCTGGAAGGGTTTTTGAAGGACTGGCATTATTTCTTCTTTAACTGTTTGGTAGAATTCACCAGTGAAGACAGCTGAGCCTGAGCTTTTCCTTAACAGAGGATTTTACATACTGATTCAGTTTCTTTCCTCTTTATAGGTTTATTCAGATTTTCTTTTTTCTTGAATCAGTTTTGGTAATTTATACCTTTCTGTTAAGTTTGCTATTTCATCTAAGTTGTCTACTTTGTTGGCATAAATTTGTTCAGAGTATTGTTTTATAGTCCTTTTGATTCCTGTATCAAAAGATTTTTATATCAAAAAAAGATTTCTGTGTCAAAATTTTGATTCCTGTATCATAGAGATGTCCCCTCTTTTGTTCCTAATT